TCTTGGAATTGTGGTAGAGGCATAACTGGCAAAAATCCAGGTGGTGATTGTTGTGGTTGCGGTGGTTGCATCATTACAACGATCGGAGGTTGTTGTGTTGATAGAGTGGGTTGTGATGACAATACGTTATTTGTGCTATTGGATGTTGGTTGTTTTTCGTTCGTTGGCTCTTTCGACTCGGAGGTGAGGTGTTTGATAGTGTGTGCAAGTATTTCAATTTCGTCTTGTTGTTTTTCTCTTTTCTGCTTTTCTTTACGCAATTCTTCTTTCAGCTCCTGAATATATTCTTCCGACTGCTGAATACGTTTTTTCAATTCTGCCTTTGTTTCTTGTATTGGCCTTGTTTTCTTCTTCTGTGGCTCGACTTCGTCATCATTTATCTCATTTTTCTTCGTTTTGCTTGATGATGTTTTTTTTGGCTGTTTCTTTGTAGACTTTTTGCTTTTCTGCTTTTTTTCGTTCTCTGTTGGATTTGATTCTTGTGTTTGTTGTTTGTGTGTAGTTTGTTGTTCTTTTTCGACATCTTGTGCTTGCTTTGACATACTACGAGTTGTCATTCTTGAAGGGTCAGGAATGTGAGTGGTTTCCGCTCTTACAGTCTCGTGTTGTATTTTAAATGTATTAAAGACAAAAGGTTCAATTCTTGAGAATTTCTCCTCAGACAATGTTGCTTGTTGCGGATCCGACACTACAGCCAGTTTGTCAACAGAAATGAAATGAAATCTATCACGACATTCTTTGTGTGTATCTATTTCCTCCAAAAGACCGATGTCAAAACAGAGGGCTGTGGGGATTGATGAACCGTTTGTCGTGAAACAAAACACACCATACAAAGCCGAATTAAATTGAACAACCATCCCACTCTCAATTTTACTGCTGGTTGTGGAGTTTTCACAAAGCTGGAACGCTTTTGTGTCGTCTAGTGAGCCGATTGGTCGACTCAGCAAGTAGTTTGCTGTTAATTCTGACATTTGCCTGGTATTTTTAGTTTTTTTGAGCTAATTTTGTCCCAAAAAGGCCAAAAATACACCGCAAAATCTAAAAATGAAAGACATGAGTGAAATGTTTGAAAGACTTGCAGCGAAACAACAAGCAAGGTCAACAACAGCTGTAGCAACCTCTAGCACTGATGTCACATTATTAAACGACGACGAAAGCAAACAGAATAACATATCAAAAAAGAGAGACAGAAATCAATGCCAAAAACGCAAATACACATTTCGCAAAAGAAGACCGTCGAAAAAGAAAAAGCAGATCAAAAATCATGATTTACAAAGCTCGGAATCAGTTAAACAGGTCTTTCAAGACCGAACCTCATGTTGTGTCAAACATTTTTCCGAAGACGATGTTGTAGAGTTCAGATCACGCTATTCAAACTTGTCCACAGAAAACGCCAAACAGATGTTCGTGTTTAATTCGTTGAAAAACGCAAACGGTTCAACACTGTATCTTAATGGCAAACCTTGTTGCATTCAATGCTTTGCTAAAATGTTCGGCATTAGCAAGTTCAAGCTCAAACAAGCAAAAAAAGCAATCCGTAATGAAGTTGTGCCAAGTACGGGTTGGCATGGGAATACGGGTAACAAAAAACATACAACCAGAAAATCGGAAGCCATTGCTTGGATGCAAGTTCTGTTGGAAAGAGATGGTCAATTTGCTCCCAATAACACCGAAATACATTTACCGTGCTACAATTCATGGAACGACATATTTGAACAGTACTCCGCCGACATGACAAAAAAAAAAGCACCGGCATACAAGACCAAAGTGAACTTTTGTAATCTTATTGAACAAGAATTTCCTACAATAATTCTACCCAAGTCAACGAGGTTAGGAAAATGTGATGATTGTTTGCAATTTAAGAAGGAGAAAGCAAAACTCGAACTCAAGGACACAAAGGGACGAAATGCTCTTGATGAAAAAATTAAAATCCATCAGCAGCATCATGAGAAAGAACGGGCTTATTATTACTATCGAAGAGAAAAAGCACAACAAAACCCTTCGGATATTGAATGTATTATAATTGACGGAGCAGAGGCGATTCAATTTCCAGTAATGTATCCAATCCCAAAAAGTGCGTCAAGTAATGTACAAAAGTTGAAGATGGGATGTTATGGCTTGATTGCACATGGAGCCAACACCAGAATGTTGAAATTGATTCCTCCTCATTTTCCAGGCGGTGCTAATCTCGCTTGCACTGTTTTATATGAAGCATGTAGACAACAAATCGAAAGTAATAACAGATCTAGAACACTCTTCGTTCAAGCAGACAATTGTGCCAAAGAAGCGAAAAACAAATACTCAATTGCTTTCCTTGCAATGCTTGTGCATTATGGATGGTTTGAAGAAATTTTTATTTCCACCATGATTGTCGGTCACACCCACGCCGACATTGATCAAATGTTCAGTACTTATGCAAAGAACTTGCATCAAAAGGACGATAGAGGTGTTGTAGAAACACCACAAAACTTCATAGACAAGATTGAAACTTGGTATTGTGACGGAAGTACAAGACCAAAAGCATCCTTTTTGCAGAGAATGTTTGATTGGTCGACTTTTTTTGATGGTGTTGTGATGAACTTTGAAGGGATTTCAAATTATCATGGATTCAGGATCTTCCAAACTAAAGAGGGTCATGTTGCACTGCAGGTAAAGTTGTACAATGGTGATGAGTCTTCGGTGTTCCACGGACCAGATCAAACAGCCAACACTTGGTATTCAATATTTGTGCATAATCAAATTCCTAAAGGCGAACCTGCATTGATTGAGACTGAAAACAGTGATGAAATATTACAAGGCATTGAAGGATTGTTTCCTCATCTCGCAGACTCTTCGAAAGATTGGATGAGACAGTACAAAGAGTCAAAGGGAAAATCAATATTTAATCATCAACTCAGTGCAAAACCCGAAGATTTTTGGTTGGAGAGAATTATAACGCCACAAGTATCTTCTGCTTGTGTCACTACAAATGCCAACAATAATCTCACACCCACCTTTTGTGCAACAATTCCAAGTGAACACATATCTAAACCACCACACAAACTAGTTGGAGATTACGAATACGGAGAATGGGTTGCTTTTGATCAAAATATTTCACATGATGCTTATGGTGTAGGAATGATTGTATCACACACTCCGTTGAAGGTTGTTGAATACTCTGTCAATGATGACAAAATTTCTGAGACACCGAATGACCTTTTCAAAGCAATTGAGCCGTCATCGATTCTCATCAGGTCGTTCCGGATCAACCAAGATCGAAAAATCCATACAATAGCTCTGAATACTATTCAGAAAGCGTTGTCCAAGCTGCGTAATGAACCTGAAAAAGCCCATAAAAGAGCTCCAAGACGAAAATCCAAACAAAAGAAATAAATTGCCGTTGTGGTTGGATTTCTCGAAAAGTGTCGGAAATTTTTAAATTTATGTTTTGAGTTTATGAATGACAAAGACTTTGTATTCAATCACATAAAAAAGTATGGTTATGGATTGAAATTTGCATCAAACGCTCTAAAAGGAGACAAAGAGTTTGTTTTGCAAGTGGTTCAACACAACGGATTTTCAGTACAATTTGCAAGCGATGATATTCGCCTTGATCATCAAGTACTATTGACAGCCATCAAGCAAAACGACATTGCATTATTTTATGCCTCTAACAACATTCGGTGTGATAAACAATTTGTACTGGAAGCAGTTCAAGAAAATGGATTGGCTTTGAGGTATGCTTGTGAAGCATTAAGGAATGATAGGGAAATTGTGTTAGCTGCTGTGAAACAAACTGGTGAAGCATTGAGGTGCATTCCATATGGATCTGAATTGAGAAGTGATAGGCAGGTTATTTTAGAGGCAATTCAACAACAAAAGCAAGCACTTTGTTATGTAAAAGAAGTTGAACTCCAAGATAATTGTTTCATGTTGAGATTACTCAAATTAATATTTCCAGAATTTGAACATTTGGACTCTTTTGACTACTCAAAGAAAGAGATTATGACCAAACTGGTTCAAGAATTTGGGTTTTTACTTCAATTTGCTTCGAAAGAATTACAAGGAGATAGAGATGTTGTTATGAATGCAGTCAGAAATTATGGTACGTCACTTCATTTTGCTTCAGATGATTTGAAGAAAGACAGAGAAATTGTATTTGCAGCTGTTCAACAAGATGGTCTCGCATTGCAATTTGCCTCCGAAGAGCTCAAGAGCGACAAGGAAATTGTGCTGACTGCTATCGATCAAAATGGACATGCTCTTCACTATGCATCCATTGAGTTACAAAATGACAAAGATATTGTCTTGAGAGCTATTGGACAAAATTTTGCTTCTCTCCAATATGTATCCGAAGAGTTACGAAGCGACCGTGAGTTTGTGTTAACAACTCTACGAGCTCCAAACCGGAAACCTGTCAATGCAGTCATTTTAAAAATTCATTGTCATATGCTTTGGAGTGACAAACAGTTCGTTTTGGAAGCGGTTAAGGCTGGGTGTAGAAATATTTGCAGACATGTACCGAGCGAATTTGCTGATGACAGAGAATTCATTTTAAAAGCCGTAAAAGAAAATAGTCTAGCTATATTTGACTCCAGTTATATTGGTTCTGACAAGGAAATCATGTTAGAAGCAGTGAAGAACAATGGCTGTGCATTAAAGTATGCAACCGAAGAATTGCAATATGATTCAGACTTGGTTATGGAGGCCCTTAAATGCAATGGTTATGTTTTAGAGTACAGTGAGGAATTGTTTCAAGAAAGAATGAAACGGTGTTTTTACGGTGCTTACATGGGAAAGAGATTATGACACAATGTTGCAACACCTCTAATAAAATCTGATAGAACGGCCAACACACTTGAGCAAATATTGATGACACAAAATGAATCAATAACGAATTCACTTGCCAACTGATGAAGTTTAAAATGTCTGATTATTGAGGCCACTTTAAGGATCATCCAAACTTCAAGTTACTGAGGAATATGACAAAATTTTATTAAAGACCAAGAATCAAAAGAGGACTATTTGAAAATTTTAACGCAATAATTTCCATAATCGACAATAAATAGTTTTCCATTCTTGGCGTTCAAACACAAAGAATTGGGTTCGTAAAAACCTTCTAACCTATTTCGTGTGTAGTATCCATTCAAGTCTCCTTTAAATGCTAATAATTGGTTTGGATTTTCTAAAGAAATAGATGATGAAAGAACAACAATACCATGCCATCCAGGTACGCTCGCAATGATATTGCCATTCACAACATCAATGCATAAATGAGTGGGTAAACATAATTCATGAATTCCAGAAATGTGTTGGATGATTTCGTTTGTAGTGATGTCAAGGGTCACAATAGCATGCTCAAAAGTTTTTGGCACAAGTAAATTTCCATTAAGGTCAAACGTGCTACCTGCACCATATGCAAAGTCAATGGTCCTTTTTACAGAGCCATTTTCAAAATCCACTTCAAACATTTCATTTCTACCAGTCACATATATTGAATTTGTTCGACTCATTCTCGAGTTCATAAATGTTGGACTGAATGTATTTCCCATGTCCATGCAAACATGTACAATTACAGAAACATTGTACGTTGAAGTAAAATCCACTTGCCAAACAATTGTTCTTGTTTCAATATGAATCTTGCAAAGAAGATATTCTGAACACACCACAATGATAAATTCCTCTGTTTCATTCAAACAAAAGCGAGAGGGATATTTGGGAAGTTGAATTTGAAATTTCGAAGGCAAACATTTTTCAATAATGCGAGAATTAGTGCTTTGTGTTGGCAAAGATTCGGAATGATGTTCAAAATGATGATCCAATACATCCAAATCATATGCATAAATAACATCAAGTTCCTCATCATGATCATTATCAATGTTGTTATTTAAATAACAAGAAACAAATAAACAATTCCATCTTCTGTAAGATAATGCAATACACAAGGGTTCTTCATGTTCTTCAAACAACAAAATTCCTTCATTCTGAAAAGAAGAATAATTAAAGGCTTTCGGAATGAATGTTTTGAATTGTTGATTATTGAATTTACATTTCAACCATTCCATAAGAGTGAATATATAATGCTCAGATGGAGAAGATGATGTAGCTTCTCGGAAAGAGGTTACATCCTTTTCAACATTTTCATATTGTTGATTCTGATGATGAATAAAATCCACAAGTTGCAACAAGACTTGCATGACAATTTTTTGCAAAATAAAACACTTTCATGAATTTCATCTTTATTGAACCGTAGACTCAAGAGGTGGAGCATCCAATTCCTTCCCCAATGCATAGCAAGACAAGCCAACAGAGCGGGTTGCTGGATGGATTTGGTCGCCAACTCCTGTCGCTGGGCTCTCTATTGACAGAACAGTGAACTTGGAAGCTTCAATTTCAAGATTTTTCTTTGCCAGCGTTAAGCCGGTTCTCTACAGAAACTTTTTTTTTTTCGAGGGACATAAATCGTGTCCCTGAAGCCCGGAGTTCACTTTCGCTGGCCAGTCTTGCTATGTAACCCTTCCTAATTCCTAAAGCTGGATTAAAACTCAGCAAATTGTTCAAATTAGAAGCACAAGATTTCAAATTTCATCCTCAAGAAAATGCCGTTACCTCCGACCCTCCCTCGTAAAGTATCATCAGCCTCCTCGTCCCAACCACCACAACCAACACCACCAACACCACCAAAGACAAATCCAGGGATGATGTTAGCTGAATCTTCATTACCTTCATCGGTTGGTAATCATCATGTACATTCATCATCGGAGTTGGGAAATACCTCATTAACAGCATCATCATCAGCAACGAATAGTACTGCTCATCATTCTACTTCCACGGTTTCTAATTGTGTGAGTAATACTCTCCTCCAACCCCCTCATCATGATTCGGGAATGGTTATATCTTCTACATGGATGCAGGAGCAACAACAAAATTCCAAACCCTTGCTCGTCGTGAACCGATCTAACATTCATAAATCGACTAGTTCTATTACATTACCTTCACCGAGCTTTACAACCACCACTGATTCGTCAAAGGACAATTTGGCAAAAGAAGAATCTAATTCTTCCTTCTCAGATGTTCATTCCAAAACCCACCATCATCACAGCACCGATTCTTTAAAAATCAATAACAATGCGCATCATTTAACGAATAATTTATTATTAACAAATCAACCAGCACTGCCATCCAGTATGGAGACTGTAAAAACCACATTGTCGTCAACCAACAATGCCAATTCAAGAAATCTTCCTCCAATACCCAACACTTCATTACATTCTCAACTTAAACAACAACCATCCAGCCAATCACAGCAGATTGTCAACACAACGTCTGAAGACACAAACAAACGAAGACCGTCGGTGAGGCCATTACCTTCCACTGTGACAAGAACAACAAATTCTGCTACTCCAACCATCCCCACTTTTCAAAATTCTGCACTCCAAACCAATTTTGCGTCAAATAACGTGCATAAGACAAATCCAACATCTGTTAACAAACCATCCACAATAATTCCCCCTCTTTTTCAGCCCTACGGAGTGAACAACATTACAACCCAAAACATTTTTGCCGGTGATTCGTTGTCCCAAGTTGGAAGCGACATCACAAAACCATCTAGTTCAACAGTTTCATCCAAAAATCCAACACCTACCCATCAATCATCCCCAACTATTTATTCGAATAGAAATGTTGTGCAAAATTCATTTTCTCCTGCTAGCAATCCGAACACAGTCAAGCTGTCACCAAAACAAAGCAATGACGAACAAAATATTGCCAAACTTCCCACTAAATCTCTTCCTTCTACTCCAACTAACAGGAGTATAAATGACACCAAAGACGATAATAGATATTCCACACCTCCCTCTTCCTCTACTTCTTTCAAGAAGCCTTCTTCCAACAGCCCAAGAAAACATCACAGAAAAGCGACTACTTTCACATCGTCTCCACTTTTGTCATCCAATGGTGATATCAACACGGAAAGTTCAAACACAGACAATACTAATAATTCCCCAAATATTGGAGGTGACGCTCAAGAAGCCCTTGCCATTGAAAAATTTTTAAGAAATTATATTTTCGATATTGTTGGAGACACTAAATTTACTTCTCTGGCAAGTGTGATCAAATGGATGACTCTCGAAACATTTTACGAAGTTCTCACCAGTTGGTGCGTTATTAATTTAAACTCTAAGAGAGCATTCACAAAGCAAAATAGATTTTTCATTATTGAAGAGCTCAACCGGCATCGTAATGAAGTATATTGCCATTTAGAAAATAGAAAAAATTGTTCAATTCTCTATCATAGTATTAAGAAAAATTTGGAAATAATTATGCAGCAATTGAATACTGGTTCTGACACTATCTCTACATCTATTAAAAAAGATATGGTCCAAGTGATATTTTCCCTTATGAAGATTGATGAATTGACTGCACAAAATACGGAAATGAAAATATCAATTCAGTCCTCAGCAAACGTACTATCCGAAATGACAACAAACGCCATTTCAAACCAATCAAAACAAGAATCCTCTTCGAAATTGAATACTCCTTTAATTTTTGAAGATGACTCAGAGATTGTTAATGAGCATTTACAAAAACCTCCACAGAAGCTTATGTTATCTGAAAAACTGAGCTCTGTCATGGAAACTTTTGAAAAGAAGAAAGAAAACATTGAAACGAAAATTGTGGATAAAACAGAGAAGGTAGTGACAACGTTAGGCTCTTCCCTTCGTGCAACTATTGAAGTCGGACAGGATAAGCTAAAATCCTTCGTCGAAACAGCCAACAGCCTAAAAGGTTCGTATATTTTTTCATAATATTTGTTTCAATGTAACATTGAATATCATTAATCAGAACAAACAAAAATGTCAAGTACAAAACCAGAAAAAATCAAGATCGTGGACAAATCCTTTCGTAGAGAAAAAGTTCTTTCTGGATATTTCTCTGCTGTTGGAACGAGCTCTAACGAACACGCTCCTAAAGTGATTCCTCCACCAAGAAGAAAGAAGAATGTTGTTACGGCTGAGTTTGCCAAACATAGCTTCTTACTGGAATTCGCTGACAACTTTATATCATTGCCTGTATATAAACCTCCTAGAAAAGAAGAAAAAATTGAAGTTCAAGGAGAAACACCAAGAACATCCAATAACGGAAGCATTGACTTTGATAATGACGGTATCAACCAAAAAGTTATTTCCAAAATTAATGTTATTGACATGCTATCGAAAAAGTTCAAAAATACTTTACTGTATTCCACAGTTTCTACTACAGCCATCAGTAGTTTGGCGAATAGTTTGACAACAATTGATATAAGTCAGAACAAAATGACTGATTGCATCAATCAATTTTGCGATGAAATTTTGAACGAAATTACAAAGAGTTTATCTACAACACAGCAGAAAGATATCCTCAACAAACATTTGAAGTTGATGGATCCAAAATTTCAGAAAAAGTTTAAGCTTTTACGATCATTCATTACATTCTTGTGTAGAAACAAGACTTTCAGCACAGCACCTGTCTCTAATAAGAAATCCAAAGATCAAGAAAATTTGATATTTAACGGACAGGAAGCAGTGACTATTTTATCCAATGTTATTGTTAAAAAGGTAGTGAAATCGAGACGAAAAACGATCATCAACGAGGGAGATCAAGTTACTAGAGAATCATTGGCTGCATCTATTACTGGAATTGAACCAGAAGCAGTCAGAAATCAAGCTATGAACTTTTTGCAAGAATTTTTGGACGATGATATTATCAAGCAAACCTTTCCAAGAATGAAAAACAAGACAGCTCAAATTCGTGACGACCCAACTTACATGTATGCATTTTGTGAAGATCATATGTTATACAATTTGGTTAATCAAGAAAGAGAGATGGAGGACCAGCTTGAAGAGACAGAGGACGAGATTAATACATTGCTAGAGCTTATCACAGCTCCGTTTCCGCCATTACTACCATCTTCAACTCAATCCATTACACCCACTCAAACCTATGTTCTCTTCAAGTATAGACGTATTCTATGTAAGGAGCCAAAATTCTTGCTATTGTTATTGCGCTCAGTTAATTGGAAAGGTGATTACAAAACGGGAGAAGAAATACTGGAGCTGATTATTAAGCATCTTAAGGACACTCCTATTAACCAATTTTCCCCACTACACAAAGTGACAACAGTTCACGTACTATTTTTAATGTACGAAACAATCATTTCCTCAAAGGTAGATTTAGAGAGCGTACAAATTTTTGCAACCGAGATTCTGAAACGCAGATCACTAACTGAAATTGAACTATTCTTGCCTCAGTTATTTTACAGCTTGGGCTCAACGAAGTTTAACAAATACTTGTCAGAATTCTTGTTAGAGGCATGTGAGAAATCTGACTATGTGTTTAACAAATTGAACTGGATGCTGACCAGTATGTTGAACTCGAGCACAATTTTCAGCACTGAAAAGACCTTAAATATCAAAGCCAACCAAGTCTACAAGCAATTACATTTCAAAATGATTCAGAAATGTAATAGCTCCTCCGAGGGAAAGTACAATTTAAATCAATTTATTAGACAACAAAAGTTAGTAGACAACATGTTGGTTATTGGAGAATATATCAAATTCCGTCTCGGAAAAGAACTTGGAGTACCAAGACCTCAAAAGATACAACATTTGAAGTCGCTTTTGGCTGCTCAAAAGTTGCCATACCTGCTGAATTTGCACAATATATCGATGAGCAATATTGAAGAATTTATTGCCAACTGCCAATCTTCAGATACAATACAAGTGGACAAGCCAATATCTCCTCAGCTTCTCAAAGAAATGCAAGATGTTGCTAAATTTGTATCTGAAGACTCCAAGCTAAAATTCATAGATTTTCTTGTTGAAAAAGAAAAAGATTTTCATGAATGGAACAATGAAGTGTTTCCGATTGATACTGTACCATGTTTAGCGATTGAAGAACACTTTTCTAACATCAACGAGGCCATCCAAATCTCAGGATTTGTTCCTGATGACGGATACATTTTTAAATCTGCGCAAGAGCCAGTGTGCTTTCCTTTCTCACTTCGAACCCTCTCGAATGAAAATGCTGCTGAATTTAAACTAATTTTTAAGCAGGGAGACGATTTACGACAGGACGAGTATATTTTGAACCTATTCTCACTCATGAACAGAATTCTAAAACAAAATGGAATCAATTTAGAAATTATAACATATCACTGTGTTTCAACAAGTCAGAGTCCAACGAACTCTGGATTTGTGGAGATGGTAAGCCAATCCAATGCAGTGAGCGCTGTTTTGGCCAAGTACAAGACAATCTTCAACTTTTTGCGAGATACATCCTTGAAAAAACAAAAACCTCAAGAATCATCCTCGAACCAGGGCGCGAATTCTGTAGATTTTTACACATTCCTCGAGAAACCAGATGATTCTGAGACACAATTAATAGAATATCATCCAAGTCCTGTGGGTGATGTTAACACGTTATTGTTCGATGAAAAAGTTCACAGATATATTCGTAGTTTAGCTGGATACAGCATTCTTACCTACCTTCTCGCCATTGGAGACAGACATTTGGATAACTTGTTATTGAAAGAGAGCGGCGAATTATTTCACATTGATTTCGGTTTCGTTCTTGGAGAAGATCCAAAACCTTATCTTGGAACACCACCCATGCGTATTTCTCGAGAAATGGTTGCTGATTTTTCAGATGAACATTTATCTGCTTTCAGAATGTATTGCTGTCAGACCTTTAAAGTTTTGAGAAAATATGCATCCTTAATCATTTTCATGCTTTTATGGATTTCTACTACCAACATGACCATTAAGGAACAAGGAAGTATTACAAGAATTGATAAATTAGGTCTCACAGTTGGAACTGGAAATAACGTACCACATGTCATTCACAATCCTCTCAAACAATTTAATTTGAAAAACGTGACCACCATCCAAAACAATTTTCGATTGGATCTACACGAAGATGAACTCGACGATTTCGTCTGCAAACTCATCGATCAAAGTCTAAACATGCTTGGTCCAAAGGTAAACGAAGAAATTCACAAAATTGCCATGAAATTGAGAGAATAAGACAAATTCGTGGAGAACTTTCCAAGTGAAATGAAATCGTTCGTTTGTGGTATTGAGATTAAACATTATAATTATTGGCCTTTCCATATCTAGAAAAAAAATGGCAACATTTCAAGTTCAATTCTTACTCATGGTCCTAGTGATCCTAATGATGATGATAGCCTCTTTTACTCTTGCTATCCGAATCCATGGACTTTCTATCAATAGCAACAACAAGAATCCACAAACACCTATTTCCGATATAAAAACAACAACCTCCCAACTCACTCCCGGTTTTATTTTCACTCTCCAACAACGATCTCTCAATTATATGGCTCAACAACTTACTCCCAAAATTCAACGTGAATTGAGTGATCATTTAAACATTCCGGATATTGATCAAAATGTGGATACTCCCGTTGGACACGTTCAATTTCAAGTACAGAATATTCAAGTGAGTCAATTGAGCTTGCAAACTCCGAGTGTGGTGATTGGATCGGATCAGACTTTGATGTTGAATATCCCTGGAGTTCATACTCATATGCAAGCAGTAAGTAGGGAATGTGTTTGTTCATCATGATGTGGATGGAATTATAATTTGAATTTTGTGAAACTTTACCTGGTTGTTACAACCACCAAAAGGATTGGCATTATCGTAAGACTCATTGGCCTCATGTTTCTGATCATGGATCTGTAGATGCTGATATCACAAGTATGTTTTCAAACCTTTTTTTTGTAATTTGAACAAGTTTACACTCATTGAATTCTCAATCTGAAATGTTAAAATTCAGTTTCAGTATCGATTGGAGTGAAAATTTCAATTGTTGATGCAACTCATTGTACAGCACAAGTGACTAGTGTACAAGCCTCCTTTTCTGAATTTAACTTGAAAATGCATGGAGGTGCTAGTTGGCTCTACAACTTTTTCATTAAGAATTTTAGACATTCTATTGAAAACGATGTGATCAAGCAAGTAGATGTAGATGTTGCTCGTGCAGTGAATACTGCTCTTGCCAAGGCACTTGATACAATTTCTTTACAACATGATTTGGGTCATGGAATTGTTGTGGATTATTCATTGAGAAGTTTGGATTTTTTGGCGTCAGTGCATATGGCTGTTGGAACTACTGGATTGTTTTATATTCCAGGAAAACCAGTGTATTCAAATGAACCAACTCCAATGAGTGACAGTTTGGGAAGTGACAAGATGATTGAGGTTTTTATTAATGAATTTGTGTTAAATTCGGCCATGTTTGCGAGTAGCCAAGCTGGAATTTTAAATGCCTTAATTACTCAAAAACACATTCCATCTACTTTTGATTGGGTTTTTAACACAAGTAGTTATCAAACTTTGATTCCAGGAATTTATGCAATTTGTAGTAATTGTGAAATTCAAATTACAATTTCGAATGGTATTGCTCCAGTTCTAACCTTGGATCCAAGTGTTGGAATTGAGATGAACGCCAACGCCCAAGCCATCTTCCAAATCATTCAAAATAATCAAAACATTGTCAATGCTTTTGCTTTGGATTTAAACATCCAGTTGGATGTCATGCCGTCACTGGGCCAAAACAACATCTCGTTTGTATTCACCTACAAGAATGCATCCATTCAATTGGCATACTCCAAAGTGGGTACATTTTCAGTGCAATTCTTCTCAATGGCCATTGAAGCAGCTCTAAAGTATGTGGTCGTTCCAGCAGCAAATATAGTCGGAACGAAAGGTGTTCCACTTCCACAAATGAAGGATTTAACTTTAAGAAATGCAGAATTTGGTGTCGAGCAAGGATATTTGAGTTTGCGGTCGGATTTTGTTTATCAACCATCCTTCACTCCAAAGAAAAATTTGCGTTCTCGAATCGTGTCACCTTAAAGATTCTTTAGAACCATTTTATTGGCCATTTTCAAATTGTACTCATGCCATTTTGACATCAGGAAAGGTCGATTCAATAAATCTCAGAAACATGGTTTGAACTGCACGCCCTTCCTCTCCCTTAATGGCAATACTTGTCCAATTCCAAAATATTTGTGACATGATCGTGGAATACTTGCCATCAATTTTAAATTGACATTCTTTAGGAAGGGTGTTCAACACCAGTTTCAGTCCTTCCAAACTGTAGTTTCCAAAACATAAAACACTCATCAAGAAATACTGGAGTGATGATAGTTTCTTTCCCGTTTTTTCCATAATGATATGAATGGCCGACAAGTATTCGCTTTCTGGAGCATAAAACAGTTCAACGAAGGAAGACACTCTATTATCATAACATATTTCATAATAATGAGAATGACCTGAAAGAATCATGATTATTTGTCGATCAATGAAATGAAGGTCATTTTGAAGTACGACTCCATTTTCCAATAGAAACAATACCTCACGAGTTTTGTTACCATAAATGCCAGCAGTCAGTGCATACTCGAGTAGTGAATGGCCAAGCTTTGGATCTACTCCACATTCATCAATTAGGAACTTGAGTAATTCAAAGGTGTCATTGGGATTGACAACCAAACGTTCTAAATTTTTCACACTCGAAAATGTGAATCCCATTTCTAATTTCATACTTCTAAAGAATTCCAAATACTTTTTCAAACTCATTGATTGCTTGGGAACAACAGTGGTACTAGGTAATGAAAAAAGTAATGGAGAGAGTGATTCTTCTTTGAAACCTTTCCAACGAGCAATTCCAATGTCACACAAAAAGAATTTCAACCATCCCTTATTTCCAATCGTTGCAATGTTTTCATAAATAGTAGTGACATGTGGTTGGATCATGAGAGGGAAAAAATCACGTCGTCTCACGCGTTTAATCAAAGAGATCAGTCGTTGTTGAAGTTCTTCGTAATTCTCATGAGGTTGAGACAATTGTGCCAAAATGGAAGAATCAATCCATTTAACGTTGGATGGAAATTGTTGAATCTCCATTTCTAATAGTTCAAGAAAGGTGATTTTGGAATTACTACATGATGTATTGACATGTTTCAGCAGAAAACCCATGTCAATTTTCAATAATACATGTAAAGCAGAACACAAGCTTGCATGTCCTTCCAATATCAATTTTTCAATAATGGGGCTCAAAAAATCCATCGTTCTGTTATCATGATGACTGAATTGTAAATATTGAAGACATAAATTTGTCAATAACATTGCATTTCCCAATGGAATTTCACATAATTCTTTAGGAGATTTTCCAAACGGCTTACTAAATAGATATGGAATAATTTTTTGAGACCAAATCATTAATATTTTGTTGAGAGCTTGCAAAAAAGGTGATTCTATAGCAATAGCTTGACATTCCAATAACATGCTCTCCATGGTAAATTTAATTCGTTGTAAAGCACGTCTTTTGAAAAATTGAATCGTTTCTTTTTTGTAAGTCGTTCCATAAATATCCATATTACAGAGACGTCTCTTCTCCATCGGTTGTTGTTTTACAATATAAATTTCATTGATTTTTTCTAAATATTTCAAATATCGTCCACGATCTCGACGGAATAAACTTGACTTGTACAATAATTTAAAACGATAACAATTAGAATTGTCAAAATAATGAGATGGATGAATTAAATAATCTACTTGTTGTTCTTTTTCATCATGATCCTCACGATGATGTTTGGAAAAATTTTGAAATTCAAGTTCCAATTCTTTCTGCAGAGTTTTCATCCAAAACATTTCCAGAGTCGTGATGTGGTACCAATCTTTACAGACAAGCATTAAATTATTTAAATATTGATTCGGACTGCAAAAGGATGTAAAAATATGAAAAAGAACATCTTGCGATATTGGCGATGACATTTTGTTTTGATAAAACCTTGTTCAAGTTTTGTAAAGAAAATTCATGCAAATTCGAATTGCGATCCCAAATCATAAGTCTTGTAATTTCAAAGTAAAAGGGCTTACACAAGCTCATTTATTGTCACATTCGCCCGCATGTCGATATCAAGAATTATTTTCATCCTCACTGATTGGTCCTTCAATTGCTTCACTTTTGAATACTTTCATCCTTAAAACACATTGTTTTCAAATTATAACTTGGTTTGGTCAGCCATAACAAGCTCAGTGGTCTACCAAATAGTTAAATTTTGCAATTCGAGTCATTATTTTCTTTTCTTTGATTTTTGAGAGCTCTTCTTAGAGGAAGTTTGTGTGGAATGGTTGCTTGAAGCGACGGATGAAGAGCCGCCAAGCTGTGGAGATCTTCCTGACGAATGAACGCTACTGCAATTGAAAGGTATAGAATCCTTAAATTGATACCGTATAATAGCTGATGATGTAATGCTAAACTTCTTTGAAAAGTGTTTTCGGTTGTGCATGGCAGTCTCTGGCCATTCTTCACTATTGCAATGATCAAAGGCAACATTACAAAGCAATGTAGAGGACGAGTCATGCCATTGAATGGATAGAGGTCGACCATTCCCTGTGGACAGCTCATACAGTGGTGCTTGCATTCGTAAATCCCAGCAACGTATTGACTCGTCATTTCCTGCACTCCACACAAATGGTATACCTCCCACGAGAGAAAATTCACATGCTTCCACTCGATCTGCATGACCCTGAAATTTTAAAATGGGCGAAACTTGTTGTCGGTAGTCAAATAAATACACATTGTGGTCGGCACTGCTTGCTAGTAATACTGATGCCGAAGTTGGATCAAAGCAAAAGTCTGTCACTGTACTTCCAAAACCTACAAATGGCACATCATAGAATCTATTTTCCATGAACACTGAAAATATTACATTGGATGATGCAGTAAATAATGTTCGCGTCATTGGATGAAATTTCATCATGTAAATGCTTCTGTTGTTTTCATAAACAGGAAGCTTGAAACCGTGTGAAGGTTTTTTGGTGTATGGGCTATAACAATAGACCACATTTTGTGAGGTGTCAGCAACAGCAACTAAACCATCCAGAGTTGCAACAGCACCAAATGATATGTTATCATTAGATGCATTGATGGTAAACTCTTTAGCATATGATGGTTCCAATTGAGAATTTGTGCTAATCTTGTAACTGTTAAGACTTTTTGGAGACGTCACTAGTACTGTGTTTTTCTTAATGTCAATACAATAGCTATTGGCGTTTTTGGAATCGGCAATTCTCGTGAATTTCATTTTGCCAGTAATCCCTCCAACAGTTGCCATCACTGATTCTGCCCTTGTCACAAAAATATCTCCACTCAACATTCCTTTTCCTAATTCAAATTTCGAAGAATAAAATTCATCTAATTTTTCACATCGTGCCTCTGCTACATTTCGTGCTGGTGCGTTATTTGCATAGGTTAATTTCATTTCTTCCCTTCGAAAATCAATTTCTCTGCAGAAAACAGCATAAGGCGAAGAATTCTCGTTTGGCTTGGGATGTTTTGAACCAGATGTTTCCTCAATAATTGAATTTTGTTTTTCACTCACATCTTCCAGTCCCAGCATTAATTGCATCATTTGTGCTGCTTTAATTAAAGTGGTAGAAGTCAGGGTTGAAGAGGACAGTTTTGTTTTGATAGTATTCATAGTTAGTTTCAAATCTGCATACATGGAACCATCATTGTATTCATAAACTCCATCTATATAATTTGAAATAATTTTCGTTAAATATAATTGAACTTCCTTCATTCTCTTCTCGCAAAATGGCTTAATGGATTGAAGAAACACATTTTCCATTTGAGTTCGTTGGGTCTTTTTATGAAGCTTGTCCACTCTACTATGAATTTTCATTTGATACTCCCATTGTGCGTCCAAAGCTTTGGTTAAAAATTGAATTCTTCCAATAATATATTGTTCTCTTTCCTCATCGTACTTGTGACTTTCTGGATCGTATTTGCTAGAAAAATTATGAGCAGCACAATTCCAAGGATACTCGCTTGTCAACAAGTAAACGAAAAGAGGAATATTCTTCGGACCACAAGTCAAATGAGAAAATAAGCAAGGAGGATAAAGAACATAGGGTAATGCTAGTGTGTTCCGCAGTACACTGTCAATATCAATTCTGGGATCTAGGGGTGGTGCTTTTTGTGGTTGTTGAGAAGAGGTATTTGTACTTGATGATGATGATGAGGTATTTGGGTCAGTGAGAGAGGATGGTTGTGAGGCAGAATTTGGAGGTGGCTGTTCCGATGATTCAGTAGAGGAAGAAGAAGATTGTAATGATGAAGGTTGATCTGTTTGGCCGTTCTGATGATTATTACTATTATTATTATTTGAAACTGGATCTGAAGAAGATGAGCCATCGTGTTGTGGCTCCGAAAGAGAAGACTGATGATGAATACCATCTTGATGATCATCATCCACGGGATCCTTATTGGATAGTAACAACGGGGAGAGTATGGATTGAGTAGGTATCTCTTCAATGACTTCTTCCGATGACGACACCGAAGATGAAGTCGATAACAGAGTATTGTTCCCATTCGGCAGAACAATTCCTTGTTCCAACTCTTTGGAATATGATGTTTTTACTTGTTCATTATGATCATCTTCACCTTCATTCATTCTTCCTCCGATAGGAAAGGGAGAGAGTTGATGAGAGAAGGTCGGCGATGATGAATTCAGTTCATCCTCTTCCGCATCGCGTTGTAAATCTTGTGTTTGCATTTTTTGGAATTATTTTATTTTGTTTTTCAAATCCGATGAATGGGAACATTGAATATCAAAACCAAGGTTCAGGAAGAGTTCTTTGAAAAGAATCCTTTCATTGAAAAATGTATTAATTGAAAGTATCCCAAATACCTCGTATTGATTTATGTTTGAATGAATAGGGAACTTGAAGGCATCCTCTTAACATTTTTAAAATGTCAATTCCCTGGTATTGAAATCAGCAGCAACATGTGAAAATATCATTCAACAACAAATTGAAAGGCTATTATTAAAAAAAAGCATCAGAAACTATCGTTGCTTACCATCATGACTCCTAAAATTCCAGCAATTTCTCCCAACAATCCTTCAATCGATGAAGTATACATTTCTGCATTGTTGTGTTCTGTTAATGTGTTGTAAGTAAACGAAATGACCACAGTATTGTCATCTCGTTGTGTTAATTCCACAAGTGAAAGAATAGATTCCTTAATAAGAAAAATAAAAACACATCCATGAATCATCATTTTAACGTCTCAACTCCAAAACATACCCATCGTGTATCTGTTAAATTTGGATTTTCTATCGATGGTTTCAATCGGGTGGTCACAATTTTGGTCAAAACAAAGTAATTATCTACATTTGCTACTGCAAAATTTGTTTCAGCAAAGACGTTGGGAACTGTTCCAATTTCATGAAAGGACACTTGCAACTGTTCACAAATTTTGAAAACGAATCATTGTTCAAAATGAAACTTCATGGATGAAACACTTACGCCAAACCTCGCGTCACGTTCCTCTGGAACTGATGGCACCTCAAAAAACAATGAAATAACTCCACCGTATCCTGAAGCATTGGAAGCCATCACTTGATCTGAAAAGTTATTAAATACGTAGCATCGATAGAGTCCATTTTGTTCTATTTCCTTATATTCGTATGGTATTTCAAACTCGACCACATTTCCATCAACCACTCGTGTCGCTGTTTTTAAGGTTAAATCACAAAAATCACATTCATAATATCCATTCCAGTTACAAATGGTGACAGCTGGCAATTCGAGTGGAACTTTCTCAACAATCGAAAGAGCTGTCGTTGGATTATTCTGAGAAGTTTGAAATTCTCCTGATGCGTTCACGACATACCAAATACAAAATACAATGGCCAATACCCATCCGATGCTTGTGACAATTTCCGGAATGGTAATTGGAATTTTGTACTTGTTTTTTGGAATACTATTCGAGGCAATACTGTTATTCTCATGGTCACTCTTAGGAGTGATCGTATCAGCGAGAGCTGGCGATTGAGGAGTTGATTTCAACTTCAAATCGTTGGTTGTTTCTTCATTGTTATTGACAGATATCCTGCTTGATGGGTCTTGAGATTGTATTGAACCCTCTTGAGACATTTTTTGAGATTTCATACAGAGCGGGAAGATACTTGGATTCACCTCTTGGTGATGATGGATCTTATTGGTTTTGAGGGACAGCTTGTTTGAAAAGTTCTTGAGTTCAAGATTTGTAATTGAGATTTAGCGAGAGCGGGTGGATGATAAGTGGCATGTTTGATCAAAACAAGAAACCATCCAATCAGTACTATATCTCAAGTTGTCCATGATATGGTCAATGAAAAGTCTTCTTCAATAACAACGATGTGACAACTGCTATTCCCTTTCCAAACCACTGAATTGGCATGATATTTTCTTTGGCTTGACATTTGACATTGGCCAAAAAAAATTCATTCTTTTTGTAAACCGTTGCAGCAAGCATTCCTAAACTAAAAGACAATTTAGGGCAGACTCTGATATGCTTGTAAAACCTTTAAAAAGTGTTGGTGTTGAGCTTCATTTCTTCTCATCAACAAAACAAAAAATGTACAAAAGAATTGTATTGTTATGCACAGTACTCTTGTTGGCAGCAGCTGTTGTGATGGCAGCTGACACAACCAGCTCAAAGCCTGTTGATACTTATGGCGAGCATAAGCAGTTTTGCTACAAGAGATGTAAAACATATAAAACTGAAAAGGGAAAGTGCAGTGATTATGAATGGAGAGGAACCACCAAGAAATGTTGTGCTTGGAAAGTTGTTGGTAAAGGAAAGTGTTTGAAGTATAAGAGATACAGCAAGGTAAGTTCAAATCTCTTAGTACTTGTGAATTTAGAATTCTGATTCTTCATTAAACGTTGTTCATTCTCAACAGTGCATCTACAAATCCAAGCCCAGAAAATTATGTTTGGGTCATGGTTACAAGCAAGTGTGTAAGCCAAAGAAGGAAAGATATTGCGTCAAGTATGGATGGAAGCACCAATGCGTTGGAAAGGGAAAGAATCACCACTGCGCCAGATATTCTTATCACTTCATTTGTTCCAAATATGATAAGAAGCACATCTGTGCAAGCTACATCAAGATTCCAAAGACTAAATATTACTACAAGACCAAATGTATCCATTACAAGATCAAGGCCAAATGTGACTCCTACAAGCAAATCTGTAAATGCCAAAAGAAGTGGAAGAAGGTCACCAAGAAGCACTACAAGGGATGGTACGATACTTATCATCGTGCTTTCTGTATCAAGAAGTGTCACTCCATTTGTAACAGAGTGGTCAAGAGAAGATACTGTGTTGCTCACAAGAAAGTTCGTTTCGCTCGTCCAAAGGGTTATATCAAGAAGTGCAACAAGTTTGTTTTCAGAAAGTTCTGCGTTGCTCAAAAGAAGGCTCGTTTCTGTACCAAGTGGGTTAAGACTAAGTTCTGTAACGCTCGTAAGAAGGTCAGATACTGCAAGATTCACAAGTATAGAAGATTCTGTAAATACTACAAATCCGTTCCATTCTGTACTCAACATCATACTACCAAGTCACGTTGTTTGAAGAGAAAGTACTGGAGAAAATGTACCCATAGATCCTACGGAGTCAAAGTCTGTAAGAAGTACCAATTCGTTGGTGGTAAATTGCATTGTGCCAAGAGAGGTTTGGTCAATAAGTGCACGGAATATGAGACTAAGTGTTCTCCAATTCAAATCGACAAGTATGTTCCAAAGAAGAAGTAATTTTGAAGAGACTTGTTGGAAGTTTTGAGGCATTTCAATGCCAATACTTGCAAAATCGTCAAGAGCGGCAATTTCTTGTAAATAAACATACATTTGCCTTCTTTACAAAATTCAAGGTGTAATTGCGTGTTGTTCGATCAAGAAAGGAGGCTTCTCTTAATTATCAGAATGAGAATGACTGAGAGTTTGTAATGAAAGCGATTTTGCAGCCCACATCTCCTTCAACAAATCATACATGACCAGAATAAATGTTCCACTTGTTCTTCTGGCTAAACACTCCACGAGTGCTCCCTTGAACAGGCTAGAGACGCCATGTCGAGAAACCATTGTCTTGATAGTTTGAACAGATGACATGTATCCATCGGAATTTTGTGCATTGCCAGTCATGCTTTGCAAGATCATCTCTTTTTGAATATTTAAAAATGGTATCGAAAACAGTACAGAAATTGAGGTGGCACATTGGGCAATCAATAATTTGGAACAAATTCCATAAGCATCCCATTGATTCTTGAAAGGATTGTTCACATTAAGAGAGTCGTACACTCCAAACAATAAACCTCTGCTTGTGACAGCATTCATCAATCCAATTCCAAATCCTTTGAAAAGAGAAGAAAAGCCACTCGTACTCACAACAAAATGCACCGGTCCTTTAAATTGACTCACAACACGATGCTTGCTAAGATAGGTAAAGTACCTCATTTGGGCATGCTCAAACGGATGCAAAACCACATGTGATGCTGCTCCAGCCAACGCTCCTGCAGTCAAGTTGAGAATCAGCTGGTTCTTTTCATCATGTTGACGATTTAAATTCAATATGACTTGAGATGATGCCAGAATATCTTTACACGTATCCTTCAAAGAAAGCGCAAGTGCTTGAGCAGGAGCAAATTTTGTAAGGCACGACGAAAATCCTGTGGTCAAACCTTTTGTGCATTGATAAATGTATCGCGAAAGTGTGATAGATTGGCCATTCCATATAGGCAGAGTTTGTTGTAACGGTACTGAAAGCGTTCTTCCAAATACTGCAGCCACTGTTCCAACAGCAAAGTTGGATGGCAAACTCGTCATCAGTTGAGGTACATGATGATTCATGTAGAGGCCGCTTGGTGAAGAAAGGCTTTCTTTAACGTCACCATGCTGATGATACTGTGCTGGTAAATATGGGCTTTCTGTGTGATGATCATGATGAAGATCCAAAGGCTCATCGTGATGCTTATCCGAAACTACGGATTGAAAGAGAACATTAGAATTCTTATTCTTGGTATGATCCATTTGTCTATGGTCAACGTTGTAGTGTTCGTGGAGGATGTAGTAACGAGGCGTTTTCAATACAACCAGCTTATTAGGTCAATCAAGCCTTTTTGTTTGTTGAGAAAAAACTACTAACAAATTTTCCTTTTGCGTCAGTTGTTCTTTTTTACCCAAATATGGATCATTGGCAAAACTTTCAAAGAGATGTCTGGCAGTTTTTTTCTTTGCCCAATGTTCAATGGCTTTGGAACGAGCTCTTATTCCATTCTTTTGTACCACTCTAATCGTCCTTTTGCATAGGAGAGAAAGTCAAATTCTAAATTTGACACATTGCTCTGAACGATTGCCCACAGACTCCAAAACAAATGTGACAATTTGCAGAAGAGTGGTATGGATTTGAGAAATTGTTTCACATGGTGTTGAGTAATTGCATGAGTGTGGGCAGTGTCAACGAAGGATTTCAAATATTCATAGACAAATGTTTCTTGAATTTGTTGAGATGGAAATAGACTTTCGTCCATTTGAAAACCACAATATTCGTTAAAGTGATTTCCAATGTCAAAACCTCTGTAGTTGTATCCACAATATTCACAATCTATGAATTGCACTTTTGTGTCAATCGCATCTTCTCTCGCAATAATGTTTAAAATTACCAGGTCGTTGTGACAAAATCCAATGGTAAAAGGGTCGATCACTTGATCTAGATTGGTTGGATCTGCAAGTTGTTGCTGCGAACTGTCGTGACCTTTTTTCATGCCAAACGAAGCTGAATTGGCAATTTCTTCTACATCATTGCAAATTCTTTGAAAATCAATTTCTTTCTCAAATTTTCGCATAACTTTTTCATCTTTCCATTCCATATTCTTTACAAGTTCAACCCATTTCCTCAAACATGTGAATAATGAAGGTGAAATTTGAGAGTTGGTGTAGTGGTCTTGAATTTTCAATTTGTGCCACTCGGCTAACTTGTGAGCAATCTCCTTGCAATACAGTGTGGCATCCTGTGCATTCTGCAAACATTTTCCTTCAACATATTCATAAATAAATCCATTTTGAAATACAGCATAGACACGAGAGCCTACTCCTCTCTTTCCCAACTCGATCATGTGATGTAATTCCTTTTTTCGGTCGATAAGCCTCTCTGTTTCCAAGCCATTAATTCGTACGAGAATGTTGGTATGGTCGGAAAGTGTAACCTTGTACAATCGATTGGTGTTTCCTCCCGTTTGTCTTTGTATCTGCAAATCCGATGATAACTTATTTTGCAGAGAAAACACTCTTTCAACGAGTTGTTTAATTTCCAAAATTAATTCATCTTCCTCCCTATTCATCATGTCTATTTTGTAATCATTGAAAAATTGAACCGATGATTCATCAAACAACAAATTTTGAATTTGCCCATCCTGAGCAATGCTTTCGTCGTCGTTGTTGTTCTGTACTAGATTCATGAAAGACGCGGCACAGATGAGTTTTTCAACAATCAAATGATATTTTTCTTTTTTGTTGGTTGAAATTCAAAAGGTATGAAAGAAAGCAAGCCGTATACCACTCGAATATGAAGAAAAGAACGGGCTATTTGCAATACAACCACTCTTCACAAATTTCTTGAGAAAAGGTTGCGCGAAGTAATTCCTTACACCAGAGAAATTAAAAAATTTTTTGCGAGCCAGCTGCGCTGTGACAGTTGAGTACCCCTCTTGATTGCGCAGGGGGGGTAATTCAGACCGTGTGGTTGTATTGGAAACAACAGAATAAAACCTTCCTTTGGGGGCGTTAAGGGATTTTTCATTTTGAAACAAAAATCAAAAAAAATTATCTATTGATTCATCGCACACATTAAATCATCACACGTTTATCGCTCTCAACAACGATGAGAAAGAATCTTACACCCCTTGATACTTTATCCGTTAAATCAACATCTTCTCCTCAACAACAACAACAACATGGAGATCATTTTCAACATCCAACAACCACTCCAACACTCAAAATGCCTCGTTCCGAGTCTCAATCATTTCTGAATATTGCTGATACGAGCTCGGGGGAGGTAGTGAGCACCAATTTCAACACACAACCATTTAGTGATAAGGCTGCTTGGTTTATTTATATACTTGTGTTGTTTTTGTCTTATTGGGCTTTGTTTTTGGGATGTTTGATTTATAGCAAAGCAATTTCATATTTGAATGGTAGGTTTGTGTAAAGGATAATATCATTTTAAAAACTAATAATATATAATAATGCTATTTACAACAATCATCAAAATACGTATGAAATTATTTTCACCAACTCGGAATTATTGTGATGAAAAATTTTTGCTGTGATGATTCTAATTGGAATTGGATCATCAATTGATGCATTCGAATCATGGCAATTGAAAAATATCACATTATCCAAAATTCACACAACAACTCAATCAGATTCAATGATCAATGCCACTATTTGGACAGCTTTGAATTGTCTTCATTCCATTTGCACACTGATTCTTTTTCACTGGAAGAAAGGATCTCCCTACGACCTTTCCATTCATTTACAGGATCAATCAAAATTGACTTTTTGGGAACAATTGGACAATCAAAAGCAATTCACTCCTACTCGTAAATTCATGTTTGCTATTCCATGTGTATTGTTATTGCTTACGTCTTGGCATGTTGGAGACAGCCTCGCCTTATTATTTGTGAATTTTGTTTTCACCCTTATTGTAGTTCTTGCTAAATTACCAAGTTTCCACAGAAGGAGACTTTTTGGAATCAATGAGTAATTTTTGAATGGTGTTCTTCTCATGAACCACTTTTTCGTTTTGCTCCAATGCTACTGCTTGCTACTAATCGTTTTTTGTAAATGATTAATTTCACACCAAGTAAATCTTGTGGTTGCAACACGTTCCCAATTTATTCAAAGCACGTAATACATGAAGGTAGCATTGTCACGTAGTAGATTTGCTTATTTTCTTGGAGGATTTGAGTGCTTTCGTCTGATGTTTGAACCGTACTTGTTGCCGATACTTTTAGAGGAAGATGAATTAGAACCACTACTGTTGGAGCTGCTACCAGTAGATCCTTGTTTTTTACCCTTATTATTGTTGGCACCAGAATTATTCTTTCCATTTGGTCTTCGATTTGAATTTCCTTGTGGTCTTGAAGTGGATCCACTTCGATTATTGGCACCACCTCCTGATTTTTGAGATGAAGTATTCTTCTTCGAACCATTTCTCTTGAACAACTCCATTCCAGATTTCACATCTCCAATGGCACTATTAGTGGAATGAGCTGTAGAAAGTTTGGAGATGAGAGAAGTTTTTCTGACATTGGAAACGACCTTTTTCGCATTGGTAGCTACTCTTCGAATGTTCTTCATGATGGCTGCTCGATTCTTGACAGCACTTGTGGCTTTGGTTAATGTCGTTTTCAATGATTTGAAATTTTTTGGAAGTTTTGCAACATTCAACAGACCAATGGATTTGGCAACACCATGAAGACCAGTAACACCAGCAACCAAGTTAATACTTCTCTTAACAGCAAGATATGCTATTATTTCAACATATCAATTTTCAAACATGTCAGTAATCATTTTTCACAGGACAAAAAAAACATGAAAACTCGCTTCCATCTTTCACAATTACTTACGCTTGGACTTGACCACAGGAGCAATCTTCTTGGCCACCTTTGCCTCAATAGGTCCCAACTTTTTTTCAGAAAAATTCGAAACTCCTGTTCCCACGGTCGATGCCGCTTTGGCCGCCCTTTCGAATCCCCACTTTTGCAACTTTTGTGAAGCCGTTCCTGAAAGCCATTTTCCAGCTTTTGAAATTGAAGTCGAATAAGTTCCAATTCCATCGACAAAGTTCATGACATTACTGGCAACTCCAATGGCAGGTAAAATGAAGAGAGTTTTTGCTTCTTGGTTGTTGGATGAACTTTCCAAAGAGACAGAAGGAGGTTCTTGTTTTTTGACAGCATTCAAATAGGAAAGTGAAGAAACCATTAATTCAGCACTTGGATTGGCAGCTTTGCTTGTCAAGTCACGAGTGACTGCTAAAAGTTGAGTTTTGAATTCTTGTTGGGCTTGAGTGAGGCCTGAGTTTGGAATGGCGTCATGGATCTATTGAGAAGCGTTTTCAAATGTACGTTTAATATTCATTGACATTTGGCATGTAAACAATTTATATAAATAGAACACCAATAACAATACCTTTTTCACTTCATTCGCAAATTGCAACAAACTTTCAGCAATTTCTGTAGCCATCTTACTTGAAACAGCATCATGAACTTGAGTGGCAATTTCTTTTGTTGTTGAATCCAATCGAACTTGTTCTGGTTGTTGTGAAGAGATTGAAGACGAGGTTTCTTCTTGTTGAGAGCTTGTCATTGGAGTACTTTCCTCTTGAGATTTTGATGAAGAAGAGGATGTAGAAGAGGTGGATGAAGAGCGTTTACCGGCACCGTTCACATTTACATTGACAATTAACTCGACTCCACCATCACGACGATGACGAACAGAGACATCTCGAGCCAAAGTGAAAGTCAAGAAAAGGGATAACAAGAGAAGTAATTGAATGAGAGTGGACACCTTGAAGAGGCGCAGAGTCCCACCTGATGTTGTTTTCTTGGGATTTATCATGATGGCGAAACGAGTGTTGACACCAACTGACAGCTGTCACTTTTTTTTTTGAGATGGGTCAGACTTTACCTTTCCTCGCGCACTGGACTATTTCCAGCCAGGTGTGCCATCATCTTTCGTTTCCTTCCATTGTGGTACCCTTGTTCCTTCAAGATCAACCTATGAGAGATCTTGTCATGAATTGAATTTCACACTATGCGCAGGAGGACCAAACATCTAAGATTTTGAAACATCAAAATAAAAGTGAATCGAATTATTACATGCAATTTTTTCACTTTCCAAAAAAAAATGTCGAATCAACCGAATCCAACAAATCAAACAAATCAAACAACAAGAAATTCTCTTCCACTTTCTGGAATTACAGTATTCGATTTGTCTCGACTCTATCCAGGTCCATTATGTGCTCAATTATTGCAAGATTTAGGAGCACTAGTGATTAAAATTGAAGATCAAAGTGGAGGAGACCCGACGAGATATTTCCCTCCATTGATGAAAGAGTAGGTGTTTGGGTTGTTGTTGTTTGGTGAGATGAGGATTATTGATGATGATGATTGCTGAAAATAATATTTTTGGATATATTTGGAAATTTAAAATCTTTGGATCGAAAAATAATTAATGATTTTTTGAACAATAGAGAGGAGGATTCTGAAAAGAATAGTAGTTATCTCTTTCATTGTTTTAATAGAAACAAAAAATCAATTGCTTTGGATTTTAAACGAAAAGATATTTCACAAATGTTAAAAAAGATTTTATTTCAAAAGGAATTGTTTGGTCATGAAACACCGAGTGGTGTGAGAGTTTTAATTGATAGTGCTCGACCTGGAAAATTAGAACAATTGCTTGGAATTAAACATGTGAGTGAATTATGGGAGGAATTTCCAGCGCTTGTCATTTGTCGAATTTCTGCATTTGGACAAGATGTGAAAAAATATGGAGATATTCCAGCTCATGATATGAATACTGTTGGAGCAGCTGGTAAGTGGTTCGTAGAGAGTATATTCTCTGTTCGGGAGTCTGACTTTGAATGATCTTGGTGATATTTCATAATTTCCATTTTTAGGAATTTTCAACATTTCTGGAGACGTTTCTGAAAAGAATTCCGGATTGAAACCTCTTCCTATCCAACTCTCAGATGTCATGACTGGTTACAGCTCTGCCTTACAAGTAACTTCTCTCATTCGAAAATTAGAATCCATTCTTCAAAATCCAATTTTCACACAACAAGAAAAAATCGAATTATTGAAACAAGTGAATCGACAAATTGATGTCTCCATGTTTGACAACGCCATTGCCACGATTCAAATGTCTCTCACGCTACAACTCAACGGATATGAAGAAATGGCATCCAATGGAAGACACGTCCTAGCTGGTTCCATATTAGGATATAATATTTATCCAACTAGGGAAGGATTATTATCGGTTGGATGTTTGGAACCACATTTTTGGAAAGCATTTCTCACAGTATTATCTCGATATGAAACCATTCATTCGTGTCCACAACAAGAACAATTCAAAGATTCTGAACGACCATCCAACAACACCATTCCACAACAAATTCATTCCCAATCATCCACTCGAATTCTTCCTCTGACCAAATATACTTCTCCTCAATATTTATTTTCCAATGATTCTGAATTGAAAAGTCGTATTACAAAAATTCTGACAACAAAAACAGCATGGGAATGGGAAGAAATTTTCACACAACACTGTGCAAGTTCTGAAAAGTTGCCAGTCACGAAAATTCGAACATTGCAAGAAATTGATCGAGAATTATTGCGGGAACGAAATATGATTGCGAATATGGATCAGAAGAAACAGCGTTGGATTGTTAAAAATGCATTGGATTATTCGTCATTGTTGAAAAACACAACTTTGGACCATTCTTTGCAAGATGATCATCATCAACGAGGACCTCAATTAGGAGAACATAATGCCATGTTCCTCTTCTCCAAATTGTAATATTTTTTTGTGACTTTTTCAAGTTTCAATTTGAAGTTTCAATTTCACAACTTAAAATAAATCAAGAAAAATAAATTCACAAAAACAATGAAAAAATTGAAAACATTGTTCACAACAACAACCTTCAATCATTGAAACATGCCCTCTCTCTTTCAATCTCTCCCCAAAGAGTCTTTTCAACAACAAACTTTGAATTATCTCAATTCTGTACCCATTCGAAAACATGTCACTGCAGCTACTACCGACGACTGTGTGGTGGTCTATCAGGCATACAATCCAGAAATTGCACAACATGCAGTTTCGCATCAAACCTTTGAAAATTGTTCCAAGTTTAGCATGACTCGAATGACTTGGATCAAAACAAATTATTTGTGGATGATGTATCGGAGTGAGTATGCCACGAGTAAAAATCAAGAACGGATATTGGCATTGTTTATTGATAAGGAATATTTTGAAAATTCAATATTGGGTGAGTTGATATATTCGAATTTCAATTTATTATTTATTATTTTTTTTATATGAATTTAAATTTATAATAATTGTAATATTATTATTTTGTATTTATATAAATATTTAGGAAATGGAATTTGTAGTTATTTCTATTACGGATTAGACCAAGTCTATGGCAGTGAAGAGGAATGGAAGAAGTTAATGGATCAACAAAAACATGCCAACACTTGTGTGCGAGTTCAATGGGATCCCTACCACGATCCCTCCGGAAATAAATTACCAGAAGTAAGGGCCATTCAAATCGGATTGAAGGGTGACATTGTCAAGGAAATGCTTTCTCAACATAAAGTGAAAAAAATTGAGGATATTACTTCGTATGTGAGGGAACAACATGAACATTGGAAGCAAACGGGAGATTTAAGCATTCCAGTGGAGAGATTGTATTCGATCGAGAATGAGGAAATTAAAAGAAAATTGGCGATTATGTAAATTATATTCATTCGCGAACAACGACAAAGTTTGATTTGACAATAAAAGGAAATGAAAATATTACAAAAAAGTAACGTTCCGAATGGAGTACGCTTAGAATTCAAAATTGAAAAAAAAGCTCGTACTAATTGTGGACACACCTTTCTTGTCAAGACAACATGTTTAAAAGTTCAAAATTTAATGAGCGAATCACATGCATGACAATGACAACAAAACTCACTACACATGATGAGTTACAACAGGATCTGTGGAAAAGGCAACTGCTTCCAAATCATTTTGCAAGGAATCGACCAGTGTCGAAAATTGAATACTCGATTGCAAATTATCAACAGAAATGCCCTTCTTGTGTAGTATTTGTGTAATTTCATTCACAAGTCCATCATAGTAAGCGGATGGATTTTTCAAATGTCTTTTGAGTAAATTAATTCCTCTCAAATCATGAGCTAAAATTTCATAATAATCGATCTGACCAATCATGCTGCCATCCAATGAAGTAATTCCAGTGTTGTAGGCACTTCGTTGACCTGCTTCAATGGCACGAACGATATGAAGATGAACTCTGGCAGCCAATGCAACATAGCTAATCATATCAATGGAACAGAATGGATATAAATCTGTGTAGGTTGTGTACGTAACTCGCAATGCACATTCTTCAATGAGATCTTTTCGTTGTCCAGCTTTTGTGAGAATGGCAATTTTCAATCCATTCGAAATAAACAAGTAGACTAAATCAATTTTAGAAAATGGTTTCGAGTTTGCTGTTTTCGTTAACATGTTACTCTGTGCATACATTAATTTAGTCAAGGTATCAATCACGTCTAACATTTCTTGATAATTGTGTTCGGTAATTTCCTGTGAAACAAGATCATGAAATTCAGGAGGAAGTGATTGTCCAGTAGAGAGAGTATACATTTGTGGAATTTGCTTAATCATGTCCATCACATTACCAGAATAGTCATTAGAAATTCGATTGTTACATGTGGATATTTTAGCATAGGCATGAGCTCTTTTAAGGAGTTGAGCTCGATCGTCCAATGCATTTTCATTTGCAAGTGATTCCAAATAAAATTCACAACATTGTAAGAAAAATTTGGCAGTCTTCAAATCATGATTCAAAGATTCCACAAATGACATGTAACAAAAAGCAGTAGCTACATAAAAATTAGAGTGATGACAAAACACGGTTGACAATGCGTGACGTGCTTCAAGCATAGCTCGAGCTGCATCTTCAATTGTTCCACATCGTTGTTCAACAAGTGCTCGAATGACTGTAAATAACACTTCCACTTCTCGCTTATTTGGAGTTCCTGGAGGACATTTTTGTTCATCCAAATAATATTCGAGTTCGTCACGAGAAAACAATGGAAAATCAGCAGCCAAGCAAGTGAAATAAATATCCACAATTTTAGATTTTGCACGATTTGGAATGACAGGCATATAGGGTGTCAAATTTGATGATGATTTAGATCGATTCTTCTTTTTCTTCTTTTTCTTTTGTTGTGGTTGAGAAGTATTCCTCTTGGGAGTGCGATATGTACACTCCACTCCTCTTGAAACACATTTTGTACATGATGGCAGTCTCTTGTCACACTACGTATATCATGAAAGTTAAATTTAATCCTCTTGTGCAATTCTACATGTAGAAACACAAACCTTTTTATGAAGCTGTCTGCATTGCACACAGGCAATAGGATGGAATTCACATTCATCCTCTGCATTCGTATGGTCATCAGAATCGTCAGAGGAGTCTGAATCTCCCGATGAATATTGCTGCAATGGTGGCAAAATGCCACTGTAAAATATTTGCTGTGAAGAGTGAGTCATTTGTGGATTACTAGGAGTAATTGAAAGATTATTTTGAGGTGATGAATACCCGTATTGTTGTTGATGAGGTGATGATTGATTGGATGAAGGCATATTGGAGGTCATGGTGACACTTGTTGGTAGAGATGCAACATGTTGATGGCCTGCATCCAAACTTCCAGTGTCACTTGTCATTAGAGATAACAGCGAAGAGGAAGAGGATGATCCTGATGAATACGTGCCCATGTTGGTACCAAAATTACCACTTGTAGAACCGTGCATGCTATTTGTCATTATTTTTTGATTTGACGGCGAGTTGGTTGTGGTTACGTTCGAGAGGTGATGAACGTGGAATTGTAGTTGTTTGTTGGTAATACCATGGCCACTATTGGATTTGTTTTGTAAAGTAGTATTCCTAGAAGTAGTTACACCGGTGTTTGTAGTCATCATCATTGGATGATCTGAAACAATGTTCCCATGATTACTCCACAAAATGGCGTTGGAATTGCCATTCGTGTTGTTGTATAAAGTAGGATGAGGTTCATTTGTGTATGACATCTGACCGTTATTGCCAACATGCATGTTGTGGTAATTTGTTTGAGATTGTGTTGGATTTATGTTTGACAGAATTGTGCGCTGTTGTTGATGCATCTTTGTCGAGGATGATCCTCCAAATTTTGATACAGTCAAATTTGCTTGTTGTTGCATCTGATCTAACATCATATCCAATAAACTTGAAGTATTGCTATTGTTGACATTACTTCCCAGAATAATGGTATTAGCCGATAATACAGATGACGACGAGTAGGACATGGGATAACCGTTTTGTTGTTGTTGCATCAAATTTTGGGAGTCATTTGTCGTGCCACTTCTCATCTCAAAAGGATTTGAGTGTGGTGGAGATATATATCCTTGTTGTTGTGGAATGGAAAGAACTGAATGTGATGGAGATGCCGTTCTGTTCTCTGTTTTAGTTGGCAGCAGTGTCACGCTCGGCTGTGAGGAGAGATGATGAGTGGATGAAATACCATCGTCGCTGTTATTGCTATTACCCCTACTCGTCATGGTGTTGGTCATGTTACTCGCTGTAGAAGTATTCATTGCATGAGTTGGCGAGGAGGGAAGAGGAGACGAATTATTTGTCCTAGATGACATTTCAGAATCTTGTGAAAAAGGTATCGACTGGATGAGAGAGATCTCTCTTGGCAAAGAATCCAAGATTGAAAATTGGGAGGAATCAAGGAGTCTGGCCAGTGAGTTACTTGTTGTGTGAATCACTATCGAGTAAATGTGTGAGTGGTCTCTTGTTTTTTTCTTGAAAGAAAACCCCACAATTTACATGTTGGTGATGATCACCCATAATTCTTCCTTGTTCATGCTACAAAAGTAGTGGTATTATGCGATTGGGATTTGAGGGGAGACAATAGGACGACGAGTCAAGTAATCCGAAGATGTGGCGCTCAAATACGAGGCCAACACACAATGTTTAAAAGGTTTGACACTTGCGAGGTTCTTTCAAATTTGAATAGCCACAAGGGATGTCATTGTGATGTTAGTTTGATGTCTGAAACCCATATGCCAATTTCATGTTGTGGATCCAAACAAGTACATGAAATAGAATGCTAATCATACTACTTGAGGAGTGGAAACCACCACAAAAGGTGGTGCATCCATTATAAATTCTATGACTTCAAAATGCATTCTGAAGAATCAACAAACAAACACTGCATTCTTGGACAAGCAACCGGAATCACTACTCAGAAATATCTTTCGTCAAGTGATTGTTGGATCACGTGCCTCGTTTGTCAAGAGAGCACACAAAAAGGATATCCAGGAACGGGCCCGATTATGTGCCAAACATGAATCTCCTCTCGAACTACATTCCAATCCGACAAATTTACTCCGCCGACACTGCAAGAATTCAGTTGTATGGCTTAGGCCAAGTACTGATACCAATTCGAGTCGTCGTTCACTCGTTTCATGTATTCTTGTTGAAGAAGGGAGTCAATGGCTCTTTTGATATCTACAGTTGTTGGTTTGAAGGTTGGAGAAAGTTGTGTGAGCAACAAGTTCACGAGTTGCTTGTGCTCAATGAGCTTTCGTGCTTTCAAGATTCTCACAATGGCTGCTTGGATGACATATCGTCGATCTTCTTGAATTTGTGAATAAATTTTGTCATTCAATGGGTTATCTCTTCCAGTATTTTCGTGGTATTGCTTGATGGTGTATTGAAAGAGAGCAATTTTGTTCTTCTTACT